GTGATATGGCTGCTGGTGTGTCCAGAAAAGCACTATATAAGTGTAAGCAATTATTAATTATTATTATTAATTATTACCCGTCTTACTTCATTTGGGGAACATCGGCACCTGATAAGACTGTTGATGATTAGATCCATTGCAGGATCCGAGCTGCTGTTGTGTGAAGCTGATGCCCCGGCTCCTTTCAAGAAGTGGCAGGGATGAGAACTTCGGATCAATTAGCTACTGAATACCGAACAGGCCAGAAGGGCCAAATGGCTGCCTGACTGCACTCCTTTGATTGCAGGCAGCTTATTGATCCAAGGGTCTCGTGCACTTATTTCCTGAAGGCTGTCAGTGAATTGGCTTCAGCTCGGTGCTTTGGCAGCTTGTTTCTGACCCACCGTCACCCTTTGTGTAAAATAAATAAAAAAAAGTGCCTCCTGCTCTCTGTTCTAAGTGCATAGTTAAGATTCAGAGGGTAAACTGCAGTGACTTTGCGTATTGTGTGTCTTTCTAGCTTGTTGTTTCAGCCAGTATAAATGTTTTCAGCTGTGCGTGTTGATCTTGCTTGCATTGTCTGCGAGCTGCGCCAGGGCCATTCAGCTCCTGCCCAGCCTTGGTGTGCCACACGCCCAGTTCCTCCCACATTCCCCCATGGCTTCTCTGTTTGCACAGCTTGTTAACATCGATTGCGCTTCCAGACAAATTGAGAAATGAAAAACATGTGCCTGGAGCCACATTAATACACAACATGAGAGATGCGTGGATACATGCTTTGAACCGTTTTGTTTCTGCAATTACGTTCATCGTCCATGAAAACCTTACATTCTTGACCCTTCTTCTGGTTTTCATTGCAATACCACTGCTTCCACGCTGAGGGGCGGAGTGTAAATTCAGGTTTCACATAATGGGACTTACAGTAAATGTGAACAAAGCGCTCATTTACTGTCATATCTTAGAAATGTATCATCTGAAACCTAAAATAAGATTATTTGGAATGTTGGCTTTTTAAAAAAAAAACTAACTGTAAAGGAATCTGAGTTGAAAGTATTAAAAAAATGTTATATTTTAGTGAAGTTCATAGCTGTACCTTTTGGAAATTACTTTTCTGTAACAAAATTCTCCTACAAATGTCTGTGAGTATTCAATCATTGAAAGTCTAGTAATGGCATTACGAAGTGGAAGTCTTCGCTGCAGCAGGGAGAACATGCAAAAACCTTCGGGATCAGGTTGCCTTGTGTACGCATTAAAAATTAATTCAGCATATTGCAGTGTCTCAGATCTCCCTTTCCCCTAAAACATGTAAATAAAAATAATGTCGTCTTTGTTGCATAACTGAGGTCAGGATCCAGTCATGAGTATTTTTCTCATTGATCCGGAGCAGAGATCCTGAAAAAAAAAATCAAGCAAGAAGCACTGGAAAAACTGCAATTTTTAGTTGCAGGATGGCGGAGGCTGCTCCGAGCTCACATCGCGGGTCCAGCCGGTGGTGTTTTACAACGGTGTCCTGTATGGTTGCGGTGACCCCCGCTTTCCTGTCTGCGGCGCAGGTCCTCGGTCCTGTTGCTGGCCCCGCTGCTGGCCGAGGCGGACCCCCTCTCGACGACGTCCCAGCCGCGATCGCAGGTCACCGCCGGCACCGAGGGGTTACATCACCGTTTCCGGTGGATCGCCGACCACGTCCCGGCGTTCCGCGTCCCGGGGCACCGGGTCCGCGTGCTCCGCACCCCCGATGAGTTCTTCCAGGTCATGAAGGTCAGAGGCGGTGATGTCGTCTTTCTGCCTGCTTTAGTGTCCACGGAGGGGTGTGTGTTTAGTCTCCTCTGGCTCTCTTTGGAAGCGTTATGACTCCCACACTCAGGTTCTCTGCGTGTACAGTATTTACAGTTGCAAACAAAGGTGTTGGGTCCCTAGGTCTGAAATAGATGACCACAGTTAAACGTTATTATTTAAAATGGATTAACTAAACTGACAACATCTGCAATCGTTTGGGTTTCTGACAGGGACTGACTCTGCATGCACATTAAAAACCCCAGGGCATTTGTTAAAAAGAGTAGGGGTGTTACCCCTATGTCCTGGCCAAAATATTCCCCTGGCCTTTACCAATCGTGGCCTCTTAATAACCCCCATCTCAGAAATGACTTCATCACACTGTTTGCCTCCCCAATGATAGCTGGTGTGAACTGGTGTTGTTGGTGATGGAGGAGAGTAGCTTTGAGAGTAGTGTCAAGAATATCACACCATATAAGTGTAAATAGTGTTCGACATGCAAGGTATATATATATACCCAGATGCTTTTATCTCACCTATAAGATTCTGCATGGCTTGGCACCTCAGTACCTGTCTGAACTATTATCGCCCTACTCCCCACTTCGCAACCTTCACTCTTCTAAGTCTGGTCTCCTAACTGTCCTCCAAGCCCGTCTGCACTCCATGGGCGACAGGGCCTTCTCCTGTTATGCCCCCAAACCCTGGAACTCTCCCCAAGGATATCAGAGAGTCACCTTCTCTAAACTCCTTCAAGTCCAGACTCAAAACCTTCTTCTTTAGAAGAGCCTTTACTTAAGTGGTTCTGTTCTTTACCCCTCTGCTCCTACTATACTGAGTACCACCGTCCACGGTCTCCCCAGTGTATGGTAATTGTGTTTTATCTTGCGTATTCTTTCTATTTATTGTCGTTGTCATTCTGTAAAGTGCTTTGAGGAGCCACCTTTAAAGGCACTATATAAAATCAGTTTATTATTATTTTATCTGTATTATCTTCCACTCTGTTTAACACCTTATAGGTAAGGTATGCTTTCATTTATTCAAGAAAAAGACTTTCAATAATGCTCCTAGCCCATGTAAAGTATTTTTTTCTTTGACCTTTCAAAACTCCAAGTTCCACAGTGTATCGTTTCACAACATGTGGTCTAATTCCAGCTTGCATGAATGGTTTGTGACATACATGGTTACAGTAAGAAGTTGCCTATTTATAATTCTTGTGGGGTCAAATATTTAGGGAACATACCTGTAAGCAAAAACCCACTTACCTGAAGTGATACCACAGGAGGAAGAGAAAGTGTAATTGTTTGGGTGAAACAAGAGAGCAGGTTCTGGTTTCAGGAAGAGAAGGAATGTTTCCATTTGGTTGTGTGACGCAGTGTGTCAGTGTTGCCTTTCTGCATCATCATGCTAAAATAGGAAATACTTGAATTACAGTCGCCGTTCTCTCATGGATCACAGGACACTTGATATGAGACAGTGGTACAAAGATGGTTAGTGTATATGAATGTGAATCATGTTTTCATTTTTGTCTATAAAAACAAATTAACTCTCTACTTACCTGGAGCATGACATGAGTGCACACACTGCACAGCTCAGCAGTGGGTGCAGTGTGAAATGTTGGGGTTGTACAGGTCAGGCGATATTAAAGCACAGGTTTATTTGTCAAAGAACACACAGCAGTGGGTTGCATCCCACAAAAAATGGAATTCTTTGATCAAGATGAGTAGCTGTTGGCATCTTTAACTTGGAGCAAAAAAAAACATTTTTACTTCATTTGGGATCTGGCGAAGATTGAATAACAGCTAATGACCTTTAAAGAGATGAAGGTAGCATGCAGCTAGATGTCTAAAATGCTCAGTCCAGGGTGTGTACAGGAACACCTTTTCCAGAAAATGGTTTCCGTGTTTTAAAACGATTTAAAGCTTTAACCTGAGAATGAAACTTGAAAAGCTGGTTTTCAAACCGAAGGTAAAAAAACACGCATTCAGACTTCACAATAAAAGTTATTTTTAAACACGTGTGTAGGCGAAGATATGTTTTTTCATTTATTTTCAGGCACGTATCAGGACGGCTAAGAAACGGGTAGTGATGGCCTCCCTGTACCTAGGCACAGGACCCCTGGAACAGGAACTGGTGAGAGTGGGAAAGAGTTTTGGCGATGCATTTTGCCAGTCCAGTTGCAGGGTGTGTGGAATTACATAAAATTAAAGCAGAACTCTAAAAAGAGTTTCCCCCACCAAATGCTTTGTAGGCTGAGCACAGGAGGCACCTTTTTAGTTGGCTGCCATGTGCTAAGTGGGCTAACAATGCTGGACTTCCAAATCTGAACTTAAGTAAAGATGCTATTTTGACCGAGACAAAGTGTGCATGCACAGGCCCATCAGACTGAACCACTTCAGTGGCTCACTTCAGGATCCTCAGTCATGCATTGGTGCTAGTGCTGACTCTTGTACTGTTCTAGGTGGACTGCATAGAGGAAGCCCTGGTGAGATCCAGGAAGGAGAGTTTGACCTCTGACTTCAAGGTCTCCATTCTTCTGGACTACACCAGAGGATCTAGAGGTGGGTGGACACCCAATGCTCTCTGGTGATGTTTTGAAGCATCTGGTAACACAGCTCACTTGTGTTCCTTGTAGTCTTGTCGTTTTGGTCCAGCGGCACGTAACTTATTGTATCGTAGTGGAATTTTACCTCTCTCTAATGCCGGTAATAAAAAAGGTAAATTCCATGCCAGGGCCTCAGAGGCTCATAGGACCAGAGATCCGCCTGGTTTCTGTAGAGTTAACAGGACTAGAAAACATGCAAGCCCCTCTGGATGTTTCCCCCAGCATTGCTGATCCCCACTGACAGAGATGGGTAGACTGAAGCAGCTGTTGTAAAATGAACCCACAGTCTGACAGTAATGAGTTTAATGGCTTACCCTCTATGCTATACTTTCCCCCATACCGGTAGTGGGGTAGTTTAAACAGTTTTCGCAGGCTTGGGTCATCAAGTCACTTAAAGTAACACCAAAGCTATTTTTCAAACACAGAACCTGCGTCTATGTATTGCAGTGGATTTGTCTAGAAAGCCAGATAGCTGTCAAATGTAGCTGAGTGTATTGGAAGAATAATCATGCTGTTGCCACCAAATATGAAATCTGGATTAAGGAAATATATTTCTGAAAGTACAGTGCCTTGCAAAAGTATTCAAGCCCCTTAGACTTAGTGTGCAACACTGATAGAGACTTATCGAAAGAGACTCACAGCTGTAATTGCTGCCAAAGGTGGTCTTACCAAGTATTAACTCTGGGGGGTGAATACATATGCATTCAATTATTATTCTGTTTTTTTTTATTTTTAATTAATTTAGTGAAATGTCTGGATTTGTTTTTCACTTTGACATTATAGAGTACTTTGTGTTGATGAGTGGCAAAAATTCTCAGTTTAATACAGTATGGTCCCATGCTGTAACACAATCAGATATGAAAAAGTCCAAGGGGGGTGAATACTTTTGCAAGGTACTGTATGTGGCTTATCTTGCAACAGCATGTCACTCACTTGCTGTATTGTTGCCTTTTGGCACCTGTCATATTTACTCAGTATTTCTCTTCCTCCTACCTGTTATATTTTCACCACAAGTGACATAAACAAGCATTGGCTTGTTCTTTGAACAGTGCAGCCATTGTAGATCTAGTTCTGGAAGCTACAGACGTGTCTGTATTGGCTCAATTGGGGGCATTGTGGAGTACTTTTCTCACGGCTACGTGACAGTAACAATGGTCATTGGAAAATAAAGTGAAAGAACATCGGCCTTGAAAAACCTATTGTGCCACAGCTGTTTTTTTCTCACATTTTTAGAACGTGAGAGAACACATCATGTGTTCACAACCCATTTATTGTTCCTGTTGTCTGTTGTACTGTGTATGTCCCGAGGTATCAGCGCGATGAAGAATGCCGGTGTAAAATTGTTGTTATATTTAAAAAACACCCTACAAACGCTGCTTTTTCTGCCAAAGCTGTGGTTTCAGTTTTGGCCACATGATTATGTTTTCATCTTGCCTTATAGCCTTGGTGCTAATAGTTCCATTTGGTATGGTAGTTAAAAATTCCAGAAAAATTAAAAAATAACAGACAGCATCTCAAAGGCAATCAGTGAAGTCAACAGCACTGGCCATATTCTGTGATCAGTGCTGTGTTCTTAGGGCCTTTATCGCTTCCTGTTTTCCTGATCGGAAGTTGAAATGTTTGAAAGACAAATCATGGCTTGTTATTAAAAGGCCTAACAGGCCATGACTGATCTTATTAGACACTTCAGCTTCTAAATAGGAATGAGTATTTCTGTCTGGAATTGCAGTTTCACTGCACGTGTTGGTGAAATGTGTGCACTTTTACACCATTATTTAGGAATATCCTGAGATTTAAGAGCTGTGCAGCTCTCTTTTTCAGATAGAGAGTAGAGTAGAGAGTAGAGGAGTTTATTGCAATATGTACATCTACACTGGAATTCTTATTTGCACCTTTCTCTCAGGATGTAAATACTAAAATGACACAGTACGACAGACAACGCCATAGAATGTCGACAGTACATTACAAACATAATAAATAATTACAACCAGAACAATAAATATGTTGTGGGAAATAAGAAATGTGCAGCAGCGAAACAAAAAAAAAACCAAGGTAGACCATGCAAAAAGTGCACAGTGCAGACATGCATTGAGTCTGGGGCATTGCAGTTAGCTGTTGAGGATCCACACTGCAGGAGGGTAGACGCTGTTCTTAAGCCTAGGGGTTTTTGCATTAATGGTGTGGTACCGTTTGCCATAGCACAGTGGGGAGAACTGTTTGTGGCCGGGATGGTGGGAGTCTCACGATAAGGTGGTACAGTATGTACGTGCGTAATCAGTGTGGCTGACTGAGAAGTTCAGGGGGTTGTGGTTTTATGTGCTGGCCCCCTTCCTGATGGGGTGTGGCTTTTCCCTGGCAGGCAAGAGGAACTCCCGGACCATGCTGCTGCCCCTGCTGAAGGGCTTTCCGGGACAGCTGCGCGTGGCCCTGTACCACACCCCCGACCTGCGCGGCCTGCTCCGCCTGCTGGTGCCCGAGCGCTTCAACGAGACCATCGGCGTGCAGCACATCAAGGCCTACCTGTTCGACGACGACCTGCTCATCAGCGGGTCCGTTCCCCCCGACGGAGCGCTCCTCCTCCTGGCCGCGCGGTGTCTGCCTCTGGGCCGCCGCCCGCTGGCGGGATTCCTCTCCAGCAGACGCAAAGAAAAACGTGCCGGAAGATCCTGCAAGACAGGGCAGCCAAAATTTAGTTCTTTTTAAAAAAAAAACAGCCCGATCTAGAAAGGAATCTGTGGTTATCAGTTACAGCAGCGACCACAGCTGCATCTTTGTCAAAGAACTGGTCTTCTTGTTCCTTGAGCATCACTTTTCAAGAAAGGAGACAGAAACTGGGCAATACTTGATACAAAAAGAAAACTCCTTTTAACTAAGGATGTATGTCATTGCTTTTTATACGATTCAATTCAGATTTTTCTCTTATATGTTCAACTATCTTAGTTTTTTGTGTATGGCTGTTAATACAGAATTGACACTGATTTTGATTGTATATGTTAATGTGATGAGGACGTCTAATTCTGGCATTGATTGAGGCTCATGAGATTTCTGTTTTTTTGGCCGAGAAATTGAATCGGCCTTTGGCGTGGTTAGCAGGGATGTCCCACGATAAAAAGTAAACGCCAGGAACGATGCGCCGTAGTGACGCGTCGGAAATGTCCCTTCTCTCCGGCGTCGCCGTGACCGTGTCTCGTCCTGTCGCCCCTCCCAGAGCCAACCTGAGCGACTCGTACTTCACGAACCGGCAGGACCGCTACGTGCTGCTGCAGGGCTGCCGGGAAGTGGCCGATTTCTTCGCCGAGCTGGTGGGGGCCGTGGCGGACTCCTCCCTGCAGCTGCAGCCCGACGACGGGGCGCGCATGCAGGAGGGGAGGGTGCACCCTTACAAAGGCAGGTGGCGTCGCCGGGGGAAACGGTTCCGCCCGGGTTGTACCCCCGTCGTATGCTGGGGGGTGCTGAACCCTACCAGCGGGCGTGATTATCTTGCTTAGGATGACCTGTTTCACCCAGCAAGAACTTTGTCTCGTCCCTTTGCCACTGGGGCCACCTTGGCCGCTGCTGATGGGGTGGGTTAATAAGATTGGGTGCCAGGGGGAGCTGTGGGGAGAACATGCAGACTCCCCCGAGAAGGGTGCTGTAGCCCGGACTCGAGCCCAGGGCTTTGGATCTGCGAGGCAGTAGGTCTGACGGCCATCGCCACACCACCCTCTACGATTCGTTCAGTAGTGAGTGAAGACTGTTTTTTTATAACTGGGCTCTTAAGTGTAAACGGACTGAGCATTTACAGCAGCGTGGTATAGTGTAAGACGTATACATTAAAAGTGTAAAAGTTAGGGAATTTAAAAGAAAAGAGAAAATGGTTTGGGGTGTTAGAAAGTAGTTTTATAGAGCTTCATCTTATTCTAGACTTCCGACAACCCTTTCGGCCTTGAGCTGATTCATCTATTGACGGATCGTGTTGATTATTATTTTCTGGTTTCCCTTTACAATAAATTGCCCCCCCCAAAAAACAGATCAGTTCTGAAATGAATCTGTCGTTCCTAAGTCTTTGAATGGCATGTTGTGCTTGCTGTCAGCCCATCTTGGCTGAAGGGTTGTGAAAGATGAAAGGAAATGCCCATCTGAGCGCCTGATCTCGCCCCCATCTCTCTCCGTCCCTCCTCTTGTGGCTTCTGTGGGATTGCTGCTGAGATGACTGAGATGTCATTTTATTACGGTATTCTTAATGCAATCAGTTATCGTGCTGATTCAATTTATGAATCTGTGGTTATAAGTTACAGCAAAGCAATGCCACAGCTGAGATTGATAGACACCACAGCTGCATCTTTGTCAAAGAACTGGTCTTCTTGTTCCTTGGACATCACTTTTCAAGAAAGGAGACAGAAACTGGGCAATACTAGACACAAAAAGAAAACTCCTTTAACTAAGGATGTATGTCATTGCTTTTTATATGCTTAAATTCAATTTTATGTACAACTATCTTAGTTTTGTTTATGGTATCTGCAGTTTTTTTGCCGCTGGAAGTAGGTGCTGATATTTTTTTTCAGATTTTGTTAGAAAAATGTGTTTTTCATGGCTAGATCACCAAGTTCAGCAAAGGTCAGATAACTAAACGCACAATAATTGTAAGACAGTGTTCTTGATTGTCAATATCAGTACTAAACGCAGTGATTAAAAATACGAAATGACACAATGAGAGTAAGAAGAAGTTCAATTGAATTGGATTCCAGAAATAACTCTCTGAAGTCATAATGATGTTGGTAAATAATCTGAGTGAGCTGAAAAGAGAGTAATTTCAGTATCCTAGCAGACAGACACCAGCAGGATATTCCTCAGCGTGACCTCAGCGCGATGAGTACAACCTGAAACAAGATACCTTTTTAATTTTTAAACAATGTTAGGTTTTACATGAGCCGCTCTTCATTCATTTGCTGTGCGCCGTTCAATTCAGAAGCACGGCTGGCCGTGGACGGCTGAGGGGTGATCTAAGTCATTAAATTTAAGCGCAGCGAACTGCTGCTCGGTTCAGCACTCTGTATGCATTGGCACGAGCTGTCTGTGGAAACTCGATCTGCAATAGTGCCAGGAAGCCGTGCAGCTCTGTGCTGCTGGCTTTACTGTATCTGAACGGTTCCCTCCAGGGACTGCGGAGTGGTCTCGGCTCCCGAATATAGCTGCCCTGACCCGGCCCCCCCCCTGTGGGACTGTCCTGGAAGGCCAGGAGGACGGGTTTTCAGTTCCTCGGTAGTACCTCCCTTCAGGTTTTGCTCATTTCATAACTGCTCGTCCACAGCCACAGCCCAGCCATGGTTTGGTCAGTACGCGGCAGGGAAGCTTGCAGCGCGCTCGTTTCTTTCTTCCCCACCCGGGCGCTCGTCGGGAGCGGCGCGAGGCCAACGCTGCAGACTGGGTGGCATTCCTACTTTCCGCTCGGCACCTCGGCAAAGCTGCGGCCGGACCGAAGGCTGCAGAAGGGCGCGGGCCCGTGCCAGGCGTCGAACTCGGCTGCTGGCAAAGCCGTCGCCAAAGCCCGAGGCAGTGTCTGGGGAAAAAGCCGCTCGCCTGGGTGGGGCCGACGCCTCCCGGTTGCCGGAGATGGGAGCTAACGAGCCGCTGTTGCAAAATCCGCTGGAGTCTGAGTGCGTTGTTTCTGACCATTATCAATCATGGGTCGTTTTTTACCACTTGTTCTGTGTTTCCAAACAAAATAGGCGCATTCCTCTCTTTTTTTTTTCTTTCCTCCTAAGCAGCATTATTTTTGTTGTTTTGCCCTCCCTCAGAGGAGGGCTTGTCGCGTTCAGGGCGACTCCCTTGTTTGTCTGAATTCCTGGGGGTCTCCTGCACTCCCTGCCTGTTCTCGGTGGTCTATCCCATCCCCCCAGAGCAGGGCTGTGCTGTTTGGCAGGGGGGAAAGCGTGCGTCTGTCACTGCGCTTCGCTCTGCTGTATTAAAGGTGCTGTTACTGCAGCTTGCTTTTACCACACTTGCATACAGGCTACATTTTTGGTTCATCTGTTTATCATTAAATAAAATACCGGAAAGTAGCACCGCAACCAAAATTAAGTTGTGTTTTTTTCCCCTATTATTATTTTTTTGTTTATCCAAAATGTAAGGCCTTAACAGTTTACAAATGTTCTCCACCTTTTTGAAATTCATAAATGCCTTCGAGCATCAAGACCGAGTTCTCCAAGCCAGCTCCAATCGAGCTGGTCTCGCAGATCACCCCAAATCACCTGCTATTTAAAGATTAGGGACACTTGGTTTAGCAAGTTGTGTTCCAGTGAGGGTATCACTGGTTCTCGAGGGCTGAAGGATATTTTGATTTTGCTCCAGATGATCTCTCAGCAGGAGAGACCAGGAATTTTATAAATTGATGATTTAAAGCTGACTGAAATGGAGCTCTCCAGGAGCCGGGTTGGAGACCAGTGCAATAGCAAATAGCAAAAAAATATTGCAAATGTAGTATTTTTCCCCAAAATGTGAGTGTTCAATGCCTGTCCCCACCCTCCACCTCCTTGCAAAGTCTTTAAAGATGATTTTCCCCGAGCTGTGACTAAATTCAGTAACATTTCAGAAAAATCAATGCTGGGCCTTGCTTTATTTATTCACAAACATTTAATACTGGTCATTTGTTGTACGCATATCGAGTACTAAAGAAGACGGCTTGAAAGTTTATCGGTATGTTTATTTGAGAGCATTCTGTTGCGTTTTCTCCCGTGGTTGATAATAGTTCTCCTGCCCAGGCCAGCCCAGGCACTGATGCCCATGTCTTTTCCAGGTGACCGCACAGAGTTTGCTGCCGCGGCTCGCCAGCGGGTCATGGGAGTGATGAACTCTGCGCGCGCCAGGCAGCGACTGGAGGCCACCGCGGCGCAAGAGGGTGAGGGAGCGGGCGAGGGCACGGCCGCCGGTCCAGGCCGGGGGGACACGTGGGTTTTCCCCCTGGTGCAGATGAAACCTCTGGGGATCAGCCTGGACGAGCAAGTGACCAAGAGGCTGCTGACGGAGGCGGGGGGCGACTGCCGCATCTACCTCACCTCGGGGTATTTCAACCTCACGCGGGCGTACGTGCAGCTGCTGCTGGGCGCGGCGGCGGACTACCGCATCCTGCTGGCGTCCCCGGAGGTCAACGGCTTCTTCGGCGCCAAGGGCGTGGCGGGCTCCATCCCCGCGGCCTACGTCCACATCGCCAGGCAGTTCTACAGCAGGGTCTGCCGCCTGGGCCAGCAGGAGCGCATCAGACTGCACGAGTACCACCAGCGCAACTGGACCTTCCACGCCAAGGGTGAGTCGGAGGCTGGTGTTAGATCTTAAATTGCGGGCCTTCGGCTGTCGGATCAGCCACAAAAACTGCTGCTGGGCGCCGCTGCTTCAGTCTCTCTGTTGCTTTTGTGAAACTACCCAGTGCGTCCCTAGATACCTCTCAGATATGCCTGGTACAGGAGCTGTGGGGATATATGCTTAAAAAGTCTCGCAAGCATGCCAAAAGCGCGCACAGTAAAGAGACAGGATGGAATTTGTTCCCCTTAGTGCAGATAGACTCATTTGCACTTTCCTGTAAGATGTGCCTCTTTTCTGTTAGTTCCTTTCAGCAAGGAGCTCATCGGCTACCCCGCTCTCACAACAGAGACCTTTCCTCAGTCTCGGCCTCGCAGCTCCTCGGCTACAAGCCCCATGGGCTGGTTCTTTCACAGCCCGCGTGGTGCCTCTTCTGAGTGTTATTCTTCTAGAAGCGCACAAAATAAGTGCTTGCGCTGAGCTCTGACCTGGATTTCTGAACTAGAACTAACAGAAAGGTCAGCGTTCTTTCCAACTGAAACAGGGCCCAAAGAAAGCAAGGCTTGAACCACTGGCTTGACAGGAAATTAGGTTCCTAAAATCTCAATAAACATAGCTGAGAGCGCAGTTTTACTGGAATTGCAAATGTACAGTGCAAGCCTAGGGCCAGTTCCCTCAGCTTCACAAGAAAACAAGCAGGACCCGCTGTTCTAGAAAACTCATGGCCGTTTTCTTTGTTTGCAGTGTGAAACACATAAAAAAATGTGCTGTGCTGCACTGTCCTGCTCTGTGATGAATGTGTGCATAGAGTCTTTTGTTTTGGATGTTTGTTGTGAGATTCTGGGGAGTGAGTGTTTTGGAGTACATTTTTTTTAGATCTACAGGAAAAGAGACACAAATAAAATTATGCGTTTTGTACTTGTATTTTGTACTGTACCATTATACTGAAGTCTGTAATACAATTACTGTTAAGTTAGCCTTAACAAATGGCTTAAAGGGGATAATCTTTCATTAAGAATTCTTCTCTAGCACTTGGACATACACTCTCTCTCAGCACACACAATGTGGGCGTTTTAACAATGCCAGTGGTTTATCTGTGATCTGCAATGTTCTTGGATTTCCAAAGTATGCCATCTACTTTCTGCTCGAAGTAAGCTGTAAATTTACTCCCTAAACGAAGAAGCAAATGTATTATCGGTTTGAAGGCAGTTCTCTATGTGGTTCACTCTTGCCTTTGTTGCTGGTTGTTCTGATCTGCAATCTGATTTTTTTAAGAACATAAATGGAGCTGTGACAGGTATGGGGGATGCACAAATTATTGACACTTAAGAATGTTTAGCAAAAGCATCTACTTTTGAACATTTGGATATTCAGATGTGCCGCTCCTCTGCCTCGGCTTCGGATTGGTGTGTTCCCAGTGTTTTCTGTTATGCTGATTATGCCCAGAGGACAAACCTAATGGTTGAAACTCTTTTGGTTAATTAATCTGAGCTAATGTTTGTTGAGTAAGGTTACCACTGTGCTTCACACAACAACAAAAAGAGTCGATATTTGTTTTACATCTAAGCAGCTGTCAGAATTTAAAAACAATGATTTGGTTGAATTACTGACATCTACAACATACAGATCTGTTGCTCAGATCCCATCTTGAAATAAAAATGCCGATTGATATAGATACAAGACAACCCAATAGCAAATTAACGATTTTTATCCAGGGGGCAGCATGTGAAGGGAAATTATTTGACTTTACAGAAATGCCTTGTGGAAATTATCCACGATCGGGAAAAGAGCTTCGCTGGAATTCAATTTAATGTTGTCATGCAGAACTGCGGGGGCTTATAAGAAGTCTTCTGGTTTATTTAATAAAGCCGTGCTGCCCTGGTATTTCTAGTAAGCACTGGGCGCTTTGATCTGAGTGGGAATGGAGTGAAAAATACATTTGGAGGAGCCGGGAACAATCAATCGCCATTAAAGGTATTGTGATGTTAACCTGGAGCCCCATCAGGTTAATCTGTGCAGAGAACAGAGACGCCAAAGGGGACAGGAGCTGGAAGAAAGCGTCGCTGTCCATCAGTACGAGCAGGAGCCCCTGACTGGTGGCAGTCCTCTGCAGGCGGAAGCCCAGGCCAGGCAGTGTCTGCTCCCGCCATGGGGTCTCGGCTTTGGTCGGCCTCCTGCCTCCTGCCTTTTCTTCCTGTGAGCCCCCTTCATGTAACTTTGAGCCCCTTAATATTGGCACACACTCTTAAAGATTCCTCTTGCATTTGTGGCTCTGCAGACTCCCAACTGCAGGTTCAGTTCTCCTTTTTTTTTTTTAATCGGTTGGCAAATTCAATGAAGAACATTTGTTGTGCGGTTGTGCTCCTCGCGCGTGTGTGTGTGTGCGTGTTGCCACTCCCGTCCGAAGCTGTGTTTTCTTCTGGTGCTTTGCGTGGTGCCGAGGTGAGCGTCATCGAAGCTGCAAGGTACGGTCCGTAAAATCCCTGATTTTCCGTCTCCCCTCTTTCTGCCAGGAGGAGGTGCTACCAGCCCCCATCCCCCATCCCTCTTGTACAACTGTACGTGCCGCCATGTGTGGTGGTAACCATGGCGCCAGGCCTGTTCCTGGAATGGGGCTCTGCGGGGTGGGGGCAGGGCCGGGGCTGGGGGTGCCGGTGGAGGGCTTGAAGGAGAGAGACAAGATGGATGGGATGTTGGGGGCCCAGGCTCCTCGTTCTGGGGCTTCCTTCCTCAGCTCCTCTGGTCATGGCATGCAGGCGATTCCTGGAACCAGCTGGCCGGCCCCTCGCTCGCCTCCCCCTCCTGTGCCAGGAACTCTGCTATTAAAACACTGAGCCCGGGAGCCAGATTAGAGGTTATCGCACATTATCACACTTTCTCTGTGCCTGTCCTTTTCTGAGCTCTCCTCACTGCTGGAGAAAGCAGGAAAAGAGAAGGTGAGGTGTTGTAAGGTGTGGTGCTTTTGTAACATCTTCTCCTCACAACGTACACAAATAGCCTTTCACTTGTTCATAAAGCAAGGGGATTATTTGTCTTGGTCATAGTGCCTTTAATCACACAGATCTCTTGTCAGGGCGCAGCCTTATTTATAAAGCCCTCCATGGTTTCTGATCAGAATGTTTTTTTTTGTAGATAAGTCTTTAATCTGTTCATTGTTCGTTTCTTACAAAAGTGGTGTCCGTGCAGAATTAGATTATACATAAGAGATGTTAGCGTGACAGGGTGTATTTCAAGTTGGATCAGTGCCTTAATCCAGTGATCTTTTACAAGGGGGTTACTTTTGTTAAATGCAAAAATTCAGTATTTTGGCAAGGTAAAGAAAAGAATGGCTGTTTTATTTCTGTTTTTCCCCACATTTTCAGCCATTCCAATGAGATATCATTTACAAAAAAAAAAAGTCTGATTGAACAGGTGATGGATTAAACTGTTCCTTATCTAGCTCCTGGTTGTTTCCTGTTTGTTTTGTAGCCTCATTGATTTGAAAAGTTCTGTAGACATTGCAGTGTGGAAAACAAAAAAGTGAGAAACCTACAAAGTAACTTAAAATGGAATGATTCTTGCTCATTAGTTGACGTGCGTGTCAACCAGCGCTGCGTGTCTTTTCTGAGCCTCTGCAAAGCGAAGACCGACTCTTTTTGTCGTGGTCGAAGCCACTTGTTTTTTTTAATCAGTCTTTTATTGTTTTCTATGGTGTTTCAAGGACGGCACATGAAATCTGTCAAAGACCTTTGATTAATAGAAGCATTTTAATGTTTCTTTCTACTGAAACGTTTACAGATCTCTTTGCAGTGGGTTTAATCTTTCGAAGCTGGCATGACACACGCGTGAAGGCACATCTCCCTGCTTGGCGAGACTTTACTCCTGTACTCTTGTCTGTGCTTTGACCGTGAATTAAGACTCTTGACCACTTGGGGTGAAGACTGGGATGACCCTTAATAAGTCTGGCCTGATAAACTGTCATTTTGTTCTACATATTTCGTTCGCAAACATTAGCAGTTTAGTTTTTTATATACTGTAATAAAACAAACATATGATGATGACTAGAGATTAACCCTCCTCCCGCTGTCGGTCTAGTTTACGGTTTACAATGCGGAGAGATTATTCACTAAGTATACTTAGTTATGATAATTTTTTGTTTGTTTTTATTCCTGGCTGTTCAAAGCACCTATTGTCTGTGGTTGGACATTTTGCCATGTCCTTCAAGGCAAATGACACAGCTTTCACTCTTCTGGGAAAGATGAAGGTTATGAACAATTACTGTATTTGTCCCAGAAACCAGCTGAACCAGGAATATTTCTCGACGATTTCATTTTTACATTGTTACTGTAGATGAGGCATCCTGTACTGTTACATCTGTTCATAATGTGCATTGTTTGCCACAATGACAGGACACAAGTTTCAGGGATTTGGTAGATGTAGAAAATGATTTGTAGAATTAAATACCCTGAAAGTACATTAGAGATATTGGTCCCTTTTTCACATGAGGTAAATACTTTTTTTCAAGAGTGGTTTTAGTACCAGTATGTGATTTTTTGGGGGAAGGGTGTTTTATTTTTATTTCTGTTTACACTCCCCTGGTTATGGTACTCTTATCATAATCCATTCCCATGCCCTGTCCGAGCTCTCTGTGGCTCAGGTGGGGAGCTGCATCCGCATGCGTAGGCTGCAAAGGAACAAGTAATAGGTTTATTCCATGCTGAAAAAAAGAAGACCTCTCACAGCTGGAGAAGGCTCCACGGCCGAACCGTTGTGTTCTCTTTCGTCTTTTTTTCGGCATGGAATAAACCTATTACTTGTTCTTTTGAGCTCTCTTTATCCTTTGGTTTTTCGTTGAAAGCTGTAGAAAAGTTGCACTTTTTTTTCTTCCTGTTTGGCATTTAAAAGGGTTTTAACTTCTGAAAGCGGAATGCTTTAAGGATACAGTAAATCCCGTACTGGTTATCACTGAAGCAGGACATTCCTGCACGAGCTGTTCTGTCCTGCCCCCAGCCTCGCACAGACACCCAC